ACTCTAAATTTTCTACTTAATCCAGAGATATAGCATGAATTGTTAGTTCAGATAATATTCTTTTAAAAATTTTTTCAGCTGCATACTTTCACATAAACAATATTAAATATAGCATGATTCATCAAGAAAAATTTCAGCCTTGTCATTAGACCTATTTTAAAGTAATTTAGGTTTTTCTACAAACGTTATCTCAACCTCTGATATGGTCTAAAACTACTTTATCTGAAATACATAAAGACCACATAAACTGAGATGACAAAACTGCTTCCAGGAAGATGGAATAAATGTACTTTCCCTATTCTTCCTGCTAAATACAACTAAAACCCCTAAACACCCTAGACATAATATATAAAACAAACAGAAGAAGACACTGAAAAATGGAGAGAAGGCAGACAGGCTAGGGATCTCAGAATCCAAAGAACGGCATGGCAGTGGGTTCTCTGGCTTTTCTTATTTTCTTTTCCACGCACATCTGAGGCTGGGTGATGTGGAAGCCAGCAATTCAGAAATGCCAACAGATGAAAACATAAAAAGGTCCCCAAAACCCCTGTTCTCTCTAGCCACAGAACCAGGAAAGGGGCAGTCTGGCAAGACAGAAACCTTTGAGAAAGTAATTTCCCTATTACTGAAAAAACCTATAATGTCTGTGCTTGCCAGAATATAAAAAGGCACCCCAAGACCTCTGCTGGGGTGGTATCAGAGAAAGATGGATAAGGAATCAGGACTTTCATGCCTGCTAGGCAGTAAAGGCAGTGCCCACCCACAGTGTCAGTGGAGACCATGTGGGGAGCAGTAATAAGACTCTCCTACCCCTCCCTGTCCCAATGGAAAGCAAGAATTTCCAACGCCACCTAGCAGTAATGAAGAGCCCCTCTCCCTTACTTGAGTATCAATGGAAACAGAGTAGGAAATTGTGGCTTCTATCTGACATTACTAAGGCAGTGCCCCAACCCATCCTTACTCCCTTAAAACAGTGTCAGGGAAAACCAGCTAAAACAGAGTTAAATAAGATCCAGAGTCTTATAATGCAATACTAAAACTGTCCAGGTTTTTAATAAACAATCAGTTACCAGAAAGCTCTCAAACTGAATGAAAGAAGATAATCAACAGATGCCAACACTGAGATGAGAAAGAAGTTAGAATTATATAACAAAGATTTTAAAGTAACCATCAAAAAATACTTCAGCAGACAATTATGAACCCTCTTAAATGAAAAAATAGAAAGCTGCAGCAAAGTAATAGAAAACCTCGGCAAAGAAACAAGAGATATAAAAAAGAACAAAATGAAAATTTTAGAGCTAAAAAATATAACAGCCAAAATAAAAAGCCCAGCATATAGGTTCAACATTAGATTAGAAGAGACAAAGGAAATAATTGGTGACCTTGAAGACAGAATAGTAGATATTATCCAATCTAAACAGAAAAAAATATAGGCTGATTAAAAAAAAGAAGAAGAAGAACAAGATCTCAGGGACCCATAGGACTCTAAGATCTAATATTTGTGTCAATAGAGATCTGGAAGGAAGGAGAAAGAAGAGGGGGCTAAAAAAATTACTTGAAGAAATAATGGCTGAAAATGTTCCAAATTTGCAAAAGACATAAACATATAGGTTCAAGAACAAACCCAAACAGGATAAATCCAAAGAAATGCACATAAAGACACATAAAACTTCTGAAAACTAAAGACAAAGAAAAAAATCTTAAAATCAGCTAGATAAAAACTAACACTTTACTTATAAGGGAAAAGCAACTTAGCAGATTTCTCATCAGAAACCATGGAGTCCAGAGGAAGTAGCTCAGCCTTTTTCAAGTGCTGAAAGAAAAGAACTGTCAACCCAAATTCCTCTATCCAGTGAAAACATCCTTTAAGAATAAAAAGGAGATCAAGACAGTCTCACATGAAGGAAATAGATAATTTGCTGCTAGTGGATCTACCCTAAAGAATGTCTAAAGGAAGTTCTCTAAACAGAAAGAAAACAATAAAAGAAGGATTCTTGGAACATTGGGAATGAAAAAAGAACATGGGAAGCAAAAACATAAGTAAATGAAGTAAGGACTTTCCTTCTCTTCTTGAGTTGTCTAAATTATGTTTGATGGTTGGTATGAACTTAATGTTTGTCCCCCTAAATTTCCTATTTTGAAGCCTTTATCCCTGATGTGACTGTATTTAGAGACAGGGCCTGTGAAGAGGTGATAAAGGTTATATAAACATCATAAGGGTGGGCTCCAATCCATTAGTTTGCTAGTCCCCTTATAAGAAGAGGAAGAGATACCTGAGCTCTCTCTCTCTACCATGTGAGAATAGAGCAAGAAGGAGGCCATCAGCAAGCCAAGCAGAGAGCTCTCCACAAGAACAAAATTGGCTGGCATTTTGACCTTGGACTTCTCAGTCTCTAGAGCTAGGAAAAAATACATTTCTATTGTTTAAGCCACACAGTCTCTGGTATTTTATTATGGCATCCCAAGCAGACTAATTCGATGGTTGAAGTAAAACTTGTAACCCTGTCTGATGTGGCTTTAAATGTATGTAGAGGAAATAATTAAAACAAATATGTTAGAAACAGAGAGGATAAAGGAACATAAAGGAAGATAAGGTTTCTATGTTTTACTAGAATTGGTAAAATGATACCAGTAGTCTGGAATATGTTATGTATTTATAGTTGACCCTTGAACTACATGGAGGTTAGGGGAGCCAACCTCCTGCGCAGTTGAAAATTCCAGTATAAGTCTTAACTCCCTCAAAACTTAACTACCAGTAGCCTACTGTTGAACGAAAACTTTAAAGATAACATAAACAGTAGATTAACACATATATTGTATGCTTTATTCATTATATACTGTACTCTTACAAAAACGTAAGCTAGAGAAAACTCGAGGGAGCAAGAGTAATATACGTAACCTTAACATTTGTACCCCCATAATATGCTGAAAAAATAATAATAATAAAAAAGAAAATCAAAGAGAAAATATACTTATTCATTAAGTGGAAGTGGATCATCATAAAGGAAATAGGAAAGGAAATTCTTATTTCACATTGAGGAGGCTGAGGAGGAAGAGGAAGGATTGGTCTTGCTGTCTCATGGATAGCAGAAGTACAAAAGGTAGAGGAGGTCAAAAGGGAGGCAGGCATACTTGATATAACTTTTATTGGAAAAAATCTATGTATAAGTAGGCCCATGCAGTTCAAACTTGTGTTGTTCAAGGGTCAACTGTATAGTGTAACACCTAGAGCAATAACTAAAAAACTGAAAGAAATATACTCAAAAACATTATAGATAAATCAAAATATAGTCTAAAAAATGTTTAAGTAACCCACAGAAAGAAAGGAAAAGAAAACAGACAATAAATAAAAAGCAGAAAATAAAGTGAAAGGATAAATCTGTAACATGACATCATGTATCAATGCTTATTAAATAAGCATTATTTAATAAGCATTATTAAATAAGCATTATTAAATAATTGATCAAATCAGAAATTGTCCAAATGGTAAATGGACCAAGAAGTTGGCCAGATCTGAAATTAGCCAGGCCTGACGTGAAATTAACCAGATTTCTTTGTTCTTTAGGTCTAGTTAAAAGATTTTTCTTATGTTTAGTCAAAATCTACTTCCATTTTCTTTTACCCATTGTCCTATCTTCCCAAGCTTCATAAAACCAATCTTGAAAGCAAATTTTAGATTATGTCAAAACTTCAATGTAAGTAACTTCTTTATAATGTTAACTCAAATTTAAAGTCAGCTAAAAACCATCCTTTTTATTCTTCACATCAATTACTAGAAAATTGCGTGTGCCTTGGACTATGTATACTTGGAAGATGTGACATTTATTTCTGTTAAATTTCATTTTCTTAGTTTCAGTCCAACATTCCTACCTGTTGGAGTACTTTCGAATCTGAATTCTGTAATATCTGATTTTGATTAATCTTTTAGTAAACTAAACAAGTATTCTTCCACCTTAAACCAAGTCATCAAAGGTACTACCAGTTGGAACAGTCTCAATGACAAAATGTTACTCTTCTGGAGACTTGAGCATGCTGATAAATATACATTTGCAGTCACTTTTTGGATATAGTCATCCCATTAGCCTCAAGATTGCTTTATGTTATTATCATCTACCTCACAATTTCTTATCCAGGAAAATATTATAAGAAACATTGTCACATTTTTGTTGACATCAAAATATATTACATCCATGGGCCTTTCTCTAATCCGCTAAACCTGATATCCATATTAAAAATGAAATTAAGTTACCACATAATGTTTTGTAAGCTCTCAGACCATTCTATCTTAGTTGTAGCCCCCACTTGTGCTTTCCTTTTGCTTAATCATTTTGGAGCGCAGTTCTAATCATATATAAAAATAGCTAGTTTGAGACTATTTGTATCAGATTGGGAGAATAGTAACATATTAAACCATAAATGTGGGGGGGAAAGCTAAGTATTATAATGAACAATTAGATGAGCAAGAGTCAACAAATTAGTACTATAACTTTAAAAACAATATGATCGTTTTTAGATATATAAGTAGGACAGATAAATAGACAAAATTCTAAAATCATGAAGTAATCCTTTTTAAAATTTTTACTTAATACTGCCGAGATGAATCTCCTAACATACAGCTCCAATCTTGTCCCTTTAATGCTCAAAAATCTTCAGTGGATCTATATGGCCGACCTAATTATGAACAAACTCTGCAAACTGCTATTCAAAAGCCCTCAAATTATGACACTAACCAATCTTCAAGACTCATTTACACCTACGCCACAACAAAACTTCCTGCCAAGCTTCACCACAACATGTTCCTTAGAATGCCTATTCATTCAATCATTCAAATATTTACTGAGAGTCCACTATACCTGGAATGCTAGAAATAAACAGTGATCAGATTTTACCAGGAACTTGCTTCATGATGTTTATAGATTAGTATATTAGTTACTTATTGCTGCTGAAACAAAGTACCACAAGCTTGGGTGACTTAAAATAACATGAATGTATTGTCTTACCGTTCTGAAGATCAGAAGTTCAATATGGATCTCACCAGGCTAAAATGAAGATGTCAGCAGGGTTGTGTTCTTCTCTGGAGGTCCACAGGGTGAATCTGTTTCTTCACCTCTTCCTCTTCTAGAGGCCACCCACATTCCTTGGCTCGTGACCCTCTTTCTCCATCTTGAAAGCCAATGAGGTTAAACCTCTCTTGACTATTCCTGAGTAGTCACATCTATCTCCCTCAGACTCTCATCTTCTGCTTCCTTCTTGCACTTTTAAAAACTCTTTAGATGGCTGGCAGCCATGGCTCACGCCTGTAATTCTTGTACTCTGGGAGGCCAAAGCGGGAGGACTGCTTAAACTCAGGAGTTCGGACGAACAAAAGCAAGAGCCTCTCTCTACAAAAAATAGGAAAATTAGCCAGTCATCATGATTTGCAACTGTAATCCCAGCTACTCAGAAGGCAGAAGCAAATGGATCACTTGAACTCAGGAGTTTGAGGTTGCAGTGAGCTATGATGATGCCACTGCACTCTAGCTGAGGCAAGATAGCGAGACTCTATCTCACAAAAACATTTAAAAAATACAAAGACTCTTGTGATCAAATTAGGCCTACCTGGTAATCTCCCTATTTTAAGGTCAACTGATTAGCAACCTCAATTCCATCTGCAGTTTTAATTCCCCTTTTCTAGGTAACTTAACATATTTGTATGTTCCAGAGATTAGGACATTAACATCTTTGGGGGATCATTTTTCTGCCTACAGAATTACAGGTTTAACTAATAATAACAGAGGTTTATCATATAAGGAACACTTATATCTTATACCAAACACTGTGCTAAGTCCTTCACAGGGATTATTTCATTCAATCTTCACAACAATCATATGAAGTAAATACTATTCTATATGCCCCCCTTTACAGATGAGGACACTGGCATTGTTCTGTCACACCTATGTGTCTTTGCTCATTTCTTAATTTTCCCCTTTCCAAATTTTACCCATCCTTCAAGAGGTCTCACCAAAGCCGTGGGTCCCTATGTGCTCTCTTCCTTCTATAAAGGCTGTGGCATTTTGCTTTTATCTCCATTACAGCACACTTCCCCACCCCCATCCATACTCCCATTTTACCCTCAACCCTAAAAGAACCACTGTTACTGAAGTGAACGTGTTGCATCTCTCAGTTGTATTGGGGCAGAATAAAAGTTGTGAATCATCTAGATCATAAATTCCTTCACAGTAATGCTGTCTTACTCATCTTTTTATTTGCAATTGTATGTAGCAATAATATCTGAATATTTTCTCTGCATATAGTACTTTTTAGTTTAAAAGACACTTTATCTGATTTGATCTTCAAAGAGCCAGGTGATGGAAATAAGAAAAAAATGTTATTATTTTCATGTTATGGATGAGGAAACTGAAGCTCAGTAAGGTTAACTGTGGTGTCATGTTAAAGAGAAAAACCTGTATCCTGAGCCAAAGTTTTCTAAGACCAGAAATCTTTTCAGTCCTCTTTCTCCTTGCTCATAGCAAAAACACTCAACAATTATTTTGAAATAAATCTTTTAATGTTAAAGATTTTGGAATCTTCTTTGGCTAACTTTAAAATTTTGCCTTTTTCATGTCTATCTTTTTTCTAATTTAAGTCCTGACTGACATGAGCAAACTAGATAATCTATTAAGGTACCATCAAGCTCTAAAATTCTTTGAACAAAGACAGTAGAAAATAAATGATTTTTCAAAGATGAAAAGTTATAGAAAGTAAAATATTATATACTAGTGGTTCTCAACCAGTTAAGAAACCAAGCCCATCCTGCTGATGCAATGGCTGAGGGTCCATGGCCTGGGGCGCCTCACAGCTATGACCAGTGTGGGAAGTTCCACCCCAGATGAACACAGAACATCCTCCAAGGGCTCCCATAGCACTGGCCTCCTTCAGGCAGTGGCCACCACATCCTGGCCTGGACATACACTGGTACAGAATTCTCAGGGAATGAAATTTGGTATAATTAAGGAAAAAGAAAGAAAGGGAGATGTTATTCTATATCCCAGTTTGCAGGGATCTGTAAGAGCTACCAAAGAACCTTAGGGTATAAGCTCAAGTCTGCACTGCCTCAGGAACTGAGTATATATATGCCTGTAAGTCAATGGTGAACTCCTTCTACCAAAAAAGAAAAAGCATTTACTACTCCTCTTTTAGTGTCTTCTCTCTAGTCTAAACCCTACTCTACACAAGAACTTGTTCCTATTTAGCCAAATCTACCTGCTCTTATGAGGGAGATTTTTATTGGTCAAACACAAGTATGGAGGTCCACACTAGACTTTGCTAAGACGCTTATCTTTACTATCTCACCATTATAATCCACACTTTCTCCAACTCAACCTAGCATCCAAGGGACATGACTCATTACCTGTTCTTTTCTGCTTTGCACTCAAGAATAGACTATGATGCTTGGACGTTATGTAGCCCTCTTGCAACTGTAAGGCAAAACCCTGGGGATGAATCCAAACTGAGAATGGCAGGGAGGGTTAGAAAGAGCCCAGGTTCTCAGTGACATTGTTGCACCATCAAATCAACCCTGAAACTGTCCACCTCCAGACATCTGGTTAATAAAACAGTAAATGTCTTTAAATGTGCTGATGTCAGCTATTACTTGCAGCTGAACACGTCCTGACACAGACCCCCAGGTGATTGTGACCTGCACTTCTCTCCTTCAAGGATGCCCTCCCCCAGTTTACTGCCAATGTTAAAGATTTTGCCAGAATTATTCTAAATTTCAAAACATGTGAAAATTACTTTCTTGAGAAATTCTTTCACATTCAGGTAGAAACTCACAATAAATAATCACTATCTCAAGCAATAAATATGCAATTAATCTAGAAAATATGTTGGAGAAGAAAAGTCCAAAGAGACCACAATGTTATGTCATTTATAAAATATTTCAATTTAAAGTACTTAACTCTTATTTCTTGAAGATTAGTAGCTAGATTTACTGGAACAATTTTGTCCAAATTTTGGCCAGAAAGACATTTCCACTGTCTCATCAACCATCTTCCACTATTTGTTTAATAACTAGACTATAGCTCAATGACTCTTTTCCTTTCTGTAAAACTTTTCAAAAAGGATCAAAGATGCTCTCCCAAATCATTTTCCTAACTTTTTTTGAATTTCCCTCAACAAAGATTTTTCAAAATAATCAGATAGTACAATATATTTTATGTGGTAGTAAATTTTAGTATAAAATGCATTTGTTGTAAAGATAATATTTTAGTAACATTGAGAAAAAATTTAAAGTAAAAAAAATTCACATCATAGTTTCAATATTCAAATACCTACTTCATGTTTCATTAGTTCATTCTTATTTTTGTCCAATTTTATGTTATATAGTTTTTTCACTTATTATATAAATATTCTTTGTATTTTTACATAATCTTAATGCTTTTAATCCCAGCTCTTTATCCTAATATAATGTTTCTTCCATCAGGATACTCAAATACAATATTTGTAGGACATTTAGGACATTAGGACATTGTTTTCAGCTTTTAAGCATTATTTAATATTCAAATGCACTTTTTCAACCTTTATTTTTCTTCTTTGCATTACTTCCCTAGGATAAATTTCCTGGGTAAAGAAGTACATATTGCCATATTGATTTCTAAGCAGATTATACCAAGTTACACTACTTCCAGAAATATGAGTATATGTTTCACCCCAACCTTTCCAGTTCTAGGTACTTTATATATTTTAAGCATTTTTGCCTGTAATTATTAATATTTTAGTCTGTATTTATTCTAATATTAGTGAGAGTGAACATTTTATTTTATATTTCTTGATGTATACTTGATATTATTTAAGTTGTCCTTTCATGCTCTCTCACCATCCTCTGGCTTTCACCATTTTCAACGTTTTAATCTCTGATTTAGATAAGATGATAGGTGTCAGGCATATCAAATTTAGAGTTCTTATGGAGCAGTGAGAGCTAATATCTCCTTCTGAACTACCTGAAACAATGAACAAATTCTAAAAAATGGAATTTCATAAGAACAAGCATAAAACCCAAACCTGGGGTCCAGAAACTCAACTGTAAAGTATAACATAAAAGAACTATATCTCAGAAGCTACGTGTGGTGGCGAGTACCTGTAGTCTCACCTACTCAGGAGGCTGAGGCAGGAGGATCACTTGAACCAATCAGTTCAAGACCAGCCTGGGCAACATAGTGAGAACTCATCTTAAAAAAAAAAAAATCCTTTTATTTTAATAATCACAGGTGTTTAAAAGGACCAAAGGACCTCAGTTGGCAATAAGTGTAATATGAATACAAGTCCATAGTAGATATTTACTGCTCAAAAACTAATGTGATACTACAGCTGCATTAATAATAATAGCTCTGCTCCATACTCCTTAGACCATTCCTAGAGTACTGTATATAGTTCTGGGACATTGGTACACTGGAGCCTATCCCCAAGGGAATGACCAGGAAGATGAAGTGACTCAACTTTATGTCATGGAAAGAATGGATACATATCTGGAGATATTTTGTCTCGAAATAGAAGTCTCATGTAGAATGTTATTAATGACCTGTAAACATTTTAATCTTTGAATGCTCTCTGAGGTTCTAAACAGGGCAGCAACTAGACATGGAGCCATTGTATTTTTAGAAAAAAGCATCCTCATTGAGCAAACAAGTTAGAGAAAGGTTCCCCCTTCACTGGGCAGACACGGTGTCACTCTCTGGTGCATAATATGGCAAGGGGAGTGCAGCTGCATTTCAGCCCCACTCATCTCCTTAGTCACTAACTTTTGTATACAAAATTGTTTAACTGTATAGAGTGGCCCTAGCTGTAAAGCAGGTCAATAAACTATGGTCATAGACAAAATCTGGCCTACCATTTGTTTTGCAAATAAAATTTTGTTGGCAGACAACCACACTCATCTATATTATGTAGTCTGCTTTCCTGTTCCAATGGCAGAGCTGAGCAGTGGTGCAGAGGCTGTGTAGCTCACAGAGCCTAAAATATTTACCGTCTGGCCCTTTACAGAAAAAGTTTGCCAACCCCCTGCTCAGTAATAATTTTAATAATCTGATGACAAATATAAGGATTTGGAGTAACACTTAAAGTTTTAATGGGTGAGTATCCATTTTTAAAAAGCAAATTTAAAGAAAATTTTAACTTCCCAATTATTACACTATTTGTTTGCCCTTCAATCCTATGTCACTGTTACAGTATGTCTGTATTTGAATGCTTCTGCTTGTGAATAACAGAAACTCACTTGATTTCAATTAAGCAGGAAAAAGGTACTGGAAGGGTAGTTTGCTATTCCCGAAAATCCAATGGAGAAGGTACAGCTGGGCCTCAGAAAAGGACCATTTCCCATGTTTTTTAAGAGACAGAGCTTTGC